CTACGCCCTTCATACGAAACACGGAACCAGCTCAGTTGTACCGCACCCGCTCACCAGACGAAGTTGGAAAAGCGCAGCGGGTTACCACCAGCCTAGCTGTTTGAAACTAGCCACCAATCCGGTTGCTGGTGAAGCTATGCTCGCCATGTTGGCAAAAGCATCCAACTCTTATGCGTAATGGACAGGGGGACATGCATATGGTCTTTCTTTCGTGCGTAATCTGACCAGCCTCCGAGGATATCGACTGAAATCTACGACCACAGTACCACCAGAGTATCAAAGCTCCCACTCTCGCCTTTTAGACTTACCCCCGCCCTTCCACCTCCCTCGAAAGCCCCGCGGAGCCACCCGACCAAATTCCCTCACCCTCCTACCTGACCTGGACACGATTCGGTCCAACCGCACTCGTTCACCATACGAAGTTACACCATGAAGAAGAACAAAACGGCAAATGCTACTTTGACGGGCGATACCAGCCGCTATCGGTCCGCTTTCTGCAGGTAAGCAGTTGTGTGGGCTTCATCGCGACAAGGCGCTGATATGTCTAGTCTGTCGTCGCTTTCTTCGTCTCAAGGAACCGAGCTCCAGCTTCCGATTCATACAAGTCTTCGATGGAGGAAAAGTGCATAGAGTCTTTCTCGGTGCGTCATCCGACCAGCCTCAGAATACAACGCCTGAAACCTCTCCAGGACGACCACTTCAAACCTGTGGTCAACAAGAGTGGGAGAGGAATCAAATATTAGTAGCGGTCATTGCTTCTCAAGACGTGTTTCAAGGAGTTCTCCGATATGTGGCTTGGAGGGTGTCGACTTCGGAAGATTCTTGCTGTCTGTCTATCTCAACACGGCACAGTCTCCCTCGCAGCCCTGCTCAGATTCTCTTTTGCATATAGGTCTACGCCACCGTATGCTGGTCTCGCCTGAGATATGAGCTTAAAGTTCTCTCTTCCCCGCGGTCGTCTTGGCAGCGGGCTGGCTAGTATTGAAGGTGATTCGTCTACATATCTTCAATATAATTTATCTTCTCCTTTTTTTGCCAATGAGCTTATGAACCCCCTTTCGTGTACACAGTTGGGTATTTTGCTGCAATATTTTGTTTAAATCGATGGTTTTGCTGAACAAATCGGATTGTTTTAGACCGAGAAAAAGACACTGCGGGTATAGGCTGTGGTACAAACATGGCTTCTAGCAATTAGATACTCTCTTTTCCCTCAGTACTAGTATGGTGACCAGCATTCTGATTTTTGGAGTTACCGTCTGAATCGGGCTGGCTTGTGTTTCGAGGCCCGCTGGTGTTCTTGCGCTGCGCTCGTCTTGACAACCTCTCTCGTCTTCAGACCCTGAATCCTCCTCCCAGTCGGATTCTTCTGCTGCACGTGCACGCGCTGGTGGGCCAGGACCAATATCACCTCTCTCGATGGCATGCAGTGTCTTGGTAAGATTCCCGAGGACACCTGCCACGGTGGCGAGCCTGGTAAGATTCTCGAGGACACCTGCTACGCTGGCGAGCCTATGGTCGACGTCGCGGTAGCAATATGCCATTCCCAATTCGATGACAGTGTCCAGATCCTTGAGCCCGAGCCTGGTGGGGGTTACTAAGAAGTGGTCGGCCGTGTGTTATGGGCACACACTTTTCAACTTCGAGCCAGCGCGGGTCCCCCGCGGGCACAAAGGTGCGGAACGTGTCAAGTCTGTCCTGCAAGCCTTCATTTATGAGCACGCGATCCAGTGCTGCAGTGTGTGGTTAGACAGGGCGGGAGCTTGAAGACTGTAGGCTGCTCACGGGGTTGTTGAAATTGAACGGTTATGTGTACGATACCGTTGTCGAACTCGAACCGGGGCATGTCGGGAATTCCTGGCTCTGGATCCAGCATCTTAGATTTTGGAGGTCGGGACTCGGCACAGGACAGACCCACGGGATAAGCATAATAGTCTAAGACCGCATCGCGAGGACCAGGCAGGCAGCGGTCGCTCACCGAGTCACTATATCGCCGCGGGCGTGAGTGAGCCCGTTGTCGCCTCTACAGTCCTGTTTGCGTGAGGGGGCTGGGGAGCACCAGGTTACAAGCAGAGTTGTCGAATTGTCGACGTCAGGGAGAAGATGCCAAAGTCACGAGACCATTTGCGGCTTTCACCCAACTTTCACCACCCTTCCATGCCTCCTTGCTCAAAACACGGTTCAACTTCAACGCTCAACGGACAACGCACTCGCAGGCCGCCGTAGAATTCGAAGATGCGGTTGACTGTGTAGTTTCAAGTCCCGCCAACGATTCGCAAATTGCCAGGCGAACGACGCTGTTGGCTCTGGTCCCGGTCCATAGTCATTTCTGGCTTAGGCCACGCGTCGCTAGACAACCGACAGCCGTTGACTCCGAGTGGGACGGGTGGGCATGATTCGTAGAACGACGAGGGCTTGATCCTCCTGGTATGTCAAATTTGCCCACTTGTCCTTCCTCCCGTTTACTGACGTGTTCTTGAGGCCGATAGTCTTTCTTCGTTTTGAGCTGCAAAATGCCCATGAAGTCAGTTATTGGACTACGACGACCACCCGCGACACTGTCCCGGTCGAAGAAGAGGCCAAAGAGAGGGTACAGGCAAGCGTTGTCGGGAACGAGGCCCCCAGTGCGTGTTCTTGCCTATATCTATGGCCTTCGCTAATGTTTGCGCAGCAGCTGGGCAGGGCATACTGTCAAGGCTCCAACGATGACCAAGGACCAAGAGAAGGGAGCAACTCGTACTGGTATGTGTTATCCTATGGCTAGCAATGAACAGTGGTACTTACTTTGGAGGCGTAGGATGCCCCAAGCGAGGAATCTTACCCGCTGAATGCGATGTCGACAAGCAGCAAGGCCATTATCCGGCTCGCGTCCGCAAAACCCCTCTTAGTCTGCTTAACATCCTTCCATCCCCTCATCCACCTCCCCGCGTCGCATCCGACAAAGACACCCAAAAGAAGCTCATCGTCGTCGAAGCATTTGACCTAATGCCAGCCACCTTTTCGTTGTGGTTTCTTTCGACAAGGGCCTTTGCGGCGTACATCCATTCCAAACAACCCTCTGAGGCCGGAATACCCACCATCCTTCCACGCTTTCTCCCTTCCGAACCGACAAGACTATTATTTATCGCACCTTTATCATTCCTCGAAATCACGTGACATCACATCCCAAAGACAGCGTTTTGCCTCCGCTTCTACACCACATACCCCTCTATAAACTGTATCTCGTGGTGCGGCACAAGCCTCTGACGACAACCAATCCTTTTGAGGCACTCTCACAGACGGGAAGGTCTTCGTCGACACCGTTTTTGCCAAGGTCACCACTTGTGCTGCAACCAGGCATACGGCTGTTTTGACGGCGACGCGGTTTCGATGACCTGTCTCTCGTTGTGCCAAAGAACATGCCCTTCCAGTCCCAGATGTCTTCGGGAAGATATCGGTCACGCGTCGTTCCTTTGGAGCCGTTTGGGGGCTGGAAATTGTTGTTTGTGGGCCGAAAATGGGTGGCGAGCCGGCGCGTGGTTTTTTTTTTCAACTAAGAGACTTGGGAAATGTGGCCACATGTTTCTTCAATGTGTCGGCCGGCGAGAAGCCCTTCAACTGGATTCGAGGTCGAAAGGATATGTAACACCAATTTGCGGTGTCGTCCGACGACTATGCCAATGGTATTCTTGGTGAGAGGCTTTTCTCTCTTAGTGTGCTCGGCATTTGCATTAATGTCTATCTCTCTCAGTTGCGATTGCGATAACCCGGGTTAACTTGAAGCCCACAACACTAGCATTCACATTTCACCCTCCACAAAATGGTCCATTGTCGTGCGTCTGATACTGTGTTGCCGTCTCTTCAAGCTCGCTAACATCGAAAATAATAGTGCCCTCGCTTTCCTGAGGAAGCTCTTCAGCATAACATGATCCGCCTTCCTTTTTTTCGACAACAGAATACGTTAGTTTTTACGGCTCACCTCGAGCGTGTCGCTCACATTCTGCAGGATTCCAAGTGTACATATCTCGCAGATATCGATGAATACTCTGTAAGAAGCAGTTTTACTACACAATCAAACCGATTTCGAAAGACATGCATATGCGGATGAGAGCAGAATGAAACGGCTATTCGTTGCCTTGCGAACGTTCATCTCCGAGTCAGCATTGTTGCTCTCGTCCCCTCCCTCGTTAGCGGCCTTTCCCACTCTCGGTCTCGCTCGCAGCTTGAGGCCCGTTGTCGGCGCCATCTCCCGAGTCAGAGCCCACACTCTCAATGTCTGAGTCTTCGACACCGATAAGTCGGATATTTCGTAAGCGGGTCCTAAGAGCTTGCACAATGCCTTCTGCATTAACAACCCAGCCATTAGTGCGGCAATCAGCTATGCCCAGTCTGATGACGGTGTCGATGTTGAAGAGATCTTGCCTGGTCAGCGGTCAGCGGTGGAGGGGCAAGGCCGAGCGATGTGGGCGCATAGCTGCGCAGCTCTCGCCAGCGTGGGTCGTTGCGAGGCACGAGTTCGTGGAACAGACCGATAAAATTGTCCATGCCCGTCCGGATCGCTGCCCGATCCAGCGCTGCAGTGGTCAGAGAGGCAGAAGACAGTGGCAGGGTGTGTTTCTTACTGCTTTGTTGGACTTGCACTTGAACTCGAATGGAAGCCATGTGCAGGAAACTGCTCAGGTTGGTGAAGAGGTCGTGTGCAAAAGTGGCCCGGGTTATCCCAGGTGTTGAGTTAAGAATAGAAATTATAGAAGATTTACTGTCTGCGTTTCTGTGGCTTGTCCTCAATGAACTGCGCATAATACTACAAGACTCTATTTTTAAACTCTCAGATGGTAACCAGCAACGAGCGGAAGATGTCTGAAGATGTCGATTGGAGCCTGACGCCAATTATTTACTGTCACTCGGAGTTGTATTTTGGTAAAAGAAGTGAATACATAGTTGTTGTCTACCCGCAGAAAGAGCAATCCTTTAATCAACATTTGCTTGGGCATCCAGAGCGCCGTTGCCGGTTCGCCTGGGCCTTATCTACCTCCTTCACTCTCGCCGATGTTCTCCTCTTTATGCCGCTTGTTATTGCCCTTCGCGCCCAGACCGTTCTCGTCAAACCCGAGGTCTAGCAGCCTCTTCTCGTACAGATATACGATGGTAGCTTCATTGGCAAGCCACCTGTTCGCATTGCACTGGGCGACTTCCAGGCTGATGACAGTCTCTACGTCGTAGAGGTTTTGTCTAGTGGACATGAAAGTCATTCGGGTCTCGAGCATTGGCATGTGGGCACAGACCTTTGGACCTTCAGCCAGTGTGGGTGGGTTGGAGGGAAGCATCTGCGTAAGTAGGTAAGCACGTTGTCCATCCCGTCCTCGATTTCGGCGCGATCCAGGGCTACGAGGGACATCGTGTCAGAGAGATCGTCGCAAGTAACAGTTGTTTCCTACGTGTGCTGCGCGCTCTGAGTTCAGCGAGCACAAGGTCCCGCAAGGATATGTTGATGGTCATGGCGGCGGGCAGGTCGCTTGACGAGCACCAGCAGGTTTAAATGCCTGTTTCGTGGACACTGCGTGGGTTTTCGAAGGACACTGAGGCACCTCGTGGAATAGGACCGATCCCTACAATTGGTTCCGAGCAGGCCAGCACCATGACGCTAACCTCGAGGCGACTGCGGCTTTCATAGTCATGAAGACATGGGCATTTCGCTGCTCGGACTTGAAGTCGATTGGCCTCACTTGAATTAACGGAAGCCGATTGGATGGAGGCAGATTTCGTTGCGTGGATTTGGTTTCGTGAACGTCGGCCAAGACAGCAAGCATGCCTGCCTCGGGGCTATTTAGACAACAAAGTCTCTTCGTTTTCGTTGGCAAGGTCGGCCTCGGATGTACTGACCAGAACGAATAACGACCCTGTGATACCAGATATGCTGGAGAACGAGGACCTCACATCGAGACATTGTCGCCGATAACGCACAAATGCGCAAAGGCAGGAGCACCGGCTCGACAAGGATATTAACGAGAAACGAAGAATAGTTTTTGGGAATGTGTATGATGCTAGGGGTCGAATAGATATACTAAGATGAACTGCACATTGTTCGTCAACGGTTTGAAGGCAAGAGCGAAGTGAGACTCACCAGAACGCATGACAAAACTCCATGAATACGACTAGGACATCCACCGACAACTCTCCCCCCATTCGAAAGCAGCACATGCCACAGACCACGACCAGAGCTGTTGTCGACGAATTTCGTGTGCATGATCTTGGTCGGTGCCATCTCCGGCTTTCGATGGCCGTTTTCAAAGCGAAAGACGTGGTATTTGCGCAGACGGCTGTGTCGTTTTGGACGGCAGTAAGGGAAGGAGGGCTTCTTGGTCGCGAATAGCGGAGGGTGCTAACAGGGAGGAATGTTATCGCTGAACGTTTTGGGGTGCGAGGTCAAAGGAGAAACGTTTGTTGGGGTATGACAATAGGCTCGTTTGGCGAGAGGCAGAGTTGATTCGCCTGGAAATGGTGTGTATGCGGCCAAGGGTCTTGCGAGACATTGCACGCCTGATATTCGTCGCGCTAAAGTTGTTGCGCGGGCTCATCCGGAGAGCGAGAGTCAGACAACATTTAGCCGGAGTGAGGAATAAGAGTGCTGAGTGCCAGAAAGAGCTAGGATAACGCACCAATTCCCTGAAGCAACTCGCCAATACTAGTACCATTCCTCCTCCTCCGTCTTCTTTAGGCCCTTCTCTCCGTGGACCATGCCCTCTTGAAGCAGCATAATGGTCTTCAACCCCCTCGCGGGCGCGGTTCGAGCTGGAGAGACGCAGGCTTGGTCGACGACATGATAGAGCAGAGGAAGAACGGGTGCGTGATGTCACAGCCATCCTGCTTTGGTTTCGCCAAACGACACAACATCGCAAACTTGTATGCTGCTGGGATAGAGTCTTCTCAAACCGCTGTTGCCCTCGGAACGGGAAGGTTTCGACAGCTACTCTGGCCAACGAAGATGTCGAATTTCCAAAAGTACTTCGAATGGAGGCGTGAAGTCCACCTGGGCTGGTTAGGTGCGTGCTTGGTCTCCCGCGGGATTATACTGAAGGGTCGTGTAGCTTATGGAGCTGCTTCAACGCGCTGTTTCGACGGGGAGACTGGAGCTGACTAGATAGAGGTCATTATGCTGGCTGAAGGTCCGTTTGCCAACCCTCTTCTCCCCGCAATGGTCACCGTTGCCCTTTCTGTTTGCGGCGGAAGCCCGTTGAAATGCGAATGCGCATCTGCAGAAACTCGCGGTCGCTTTCGCTTGAATACCTCCACCCGCAACGAAGTATGCTGACCCGCCTTGGATACAGCGACAAACGGGAGTGAAGTAACGAACGGGTCGAAGGGCTACATCCCAGGTACTTAAGTAAGTCTGCGCTGACTCTTCCTGCTTTTGACTGAATCTAATTGCCGCAGACCATCTAGGACCTTGTCGAGCGGCATAGGCTCTGGACACCTGCAAACGAGTATCACTCCGGCCATGCAAGCGGTATGACGAGCTCATCTCGGACAAGACCACGGCGGACGGATGTGCAAAGGAGCTTACGGGGAGAATACTAAGAGAAGATGATGTTGGCTAGGCTAATGCAGCTGCGGGACTTCGGTGCGTGGTTCTGTTTGTCTCTGCTATTTCGCTGCTTTTGGGGAACAACAATTCACTACCAACTAGATCTACACGTTGTAAACGATCGAAAATAGTCAAAATCATAGCAAATCATCAATCGATACCCTTGCCCCGGAGCTCCCTACGTTCCCATGTGTTCCTCGAAGGATGTCCGTTTGGCATCAAGACTGGGACTTGCAATTGGTCCTGCAGGTGCTTCAAGTCGCCTAGGTCCTTGTCGGAGATCGCCGACGATGCACAGTCAACAACGAATCGGCTCAGCTTCATTGTGTGTCGCACTCCTGCAGACAGCGCGTTGGCGACACGCATGGCAAGGCCGTCCACGAATGGACCGATCTCAATCGTCAGAGAGGATGCTTTTATTGAGGTTGATTTCCCTTCCCTTGGCTGGGGTACCACAAGTGTCAACGACTCGAGATTAGGTAGGAATGCAAGTTGGGCAAAGTCGGCTGCGAGGAGTTTGCCGCTTTCGGCGTCCATGTCAAAGAGACGGAGGACAAACTCTTGGGTTGAGTGGAACACTGGGGAATTGCGAGAAAACACAAGGGATTGAATGACCTTGTAGCTCCAGGTCGATACGATGAACAGAGATAGAATATTGGCGTTGGAACGAGTGAGGCAGGGGTGGTCCGGGTGGATATACGACTTCACATCCTTAAAAGTGAAATACGATAGATGAAGAGTCTTCAGGGCTGGCAGCGTCAGGTGTGGTAGAACACAAGCACTGTTTTCTTCCAGCAACAACAAGGTCGACAAGTACGGCATGGTAATGGTCGACTCGGGTTCCCAATAATCTCGGCGTCCGACTCGGGATTGCGCACAAGGGTAAGTAGAGAGAGTTCTTCCAGCATTAACAGTTCTGGAAGGATCAAAATGACGTCCAGGTATTGTGCGGGACCATTAACGGTCAGCTTGCGCAGCCGTTGTGTGGGGATTGCGAACTGCGAGATCGATAGAATGTTTGAGACAGCCAATTCGCGGAGATGAACAGCACTTTGAAAAACGTTCCGTTGACTGCGACTGTTGTTAAACCTATCGATATTTGGAATGTCAAGTGTAAGTTTTGTCAATTGAGGGAAGTCGAAATCAAAGGGCACGAATACTGGTAGCGAGGTAGCCCTACGGAATGTGGCTTCGTATAGGTCGAAGGCATTAAACCCGGCCTGTAGATGTGCTTCAATCCACTGTGAAGCAGAGTCAAAGACGCCGCGGGGAAGACGATCGGGGACCAAGTCAAACCCGGTAGTTGAGAGCGTGATTGGTAAGCCTTGTGCGCGCTGGAGAAAATGCTGATGAAGAGTATCACAATGATTACTAAAGCGAATGAAATAGCAGGTCCTTGTCCACAAATGCGGGTCCGCGATAGCCACAGCGCGCCACCGCTGAGATACCGCAGTGAGCCGCAAGAGGGCAACATCGACTTGAGTTCGTGGCGCCGAGAACACAACCGCAGCGAAGATCTTGCACAGAATCTCCGGAGGGAGCGTGTCCACAGGGTAAACCACAGTTTTAAGCTGCTCTTCGATGACATCCCGCCGGTACTTCAGGGAATCGATCGTTTTCTTGATCTGTTCTGCCTCTTGTCGGAGTCGGGCAATGGTCATGGAGTCCAGCGGATTCTCTGGTTGGCGGCGCTCGCGAAGCCCAAGAGAAGCTAGTGCACGTGAAGCTTCAGCGTAGTACTGCTCCACTGTGAATTCATGGTCTGAATCGTCGTTGTCGGACATGAGAGAGAGAGTGTGTGTGACTAGCGTCACCATCGATGAGGCGTCGAAGACTAAAGATAGTAAAAATTCTAGGAACCAGAGATTGATTGAATCAATGCATACAAGAGAGTGCGCTGAGTGGAGAAGGAATAGGTAAATGAAGACGGTGTGGCGGTTTTGCAGTAGTGTGGGGTTGCTGTATGTAGTAGTGGGGGAAGGAGGGAAGAGATATAATGGATGCGCAAGCTGAAGCTTGCCCAACGCAAATTCTACCGTGTGCCCACAGAAGAGAATGAGAAGACATGTCGATAGCATTGGAGTCGTCGAAGAGTACAGCACAGTACTACAAGTGCGTTTCAGTGGAACTGGGCAGTGCGGATAGTGGAAAATATGCTACTTCAACAAGCGATGAGGTCGACGTTCTACCAGGCAGCAAAACCGCAGGTGGCGAGGGATTAGAGTATGAAAGCAGGCTTGTTTTGCGAGCTTGTAAATAGTGTGTATGGGGGCAAGTGTCTTGCGGGACATTGCACTCTTGATATTCGTCGCGCTGAAGTTGCTGCGGCTGAGCAGAGGCGGGAACGAAGCACTAAAAGACGTACCATCGACAGAATCGCATTCTTGTCCACCCATGCTTACTCCTCCAGCTATGCGTCGTCCTTCCCTCCAATTGTGCCTTGCGGGGTTTGCAGGCCAAGTACGTGCAGAGTGGATACTGCAGTCGCGAGGAGTTCCGCCTCGCGCTGAGAAAGGCGTGTATATTGAGTGAAGATTTCAGTGCCCAATGCTGACATGTCGTTGGTGTATGCGAGACGTGGGGGGCAATGCAGAGCTTTTCTAGGCCCCGATGGTGGCAGGGATGTATCAGGGGCCAGAGCTTGGTGTTATGGGAGTAAGAGGAGGAGAACGTGCATGGACATTGGAGAGTTGGGTGAAAGACAGATTTAGCGGTCGGTCGGCAACGACAAGAGAACGAATTTCACGCACCATTCGAGCTCAAATTCCACTCTTCCATTTGAATCCCTCCAAACGAGCTGCGCTTCCCGCAGGAGGAGCCAGAACGGCATTCGTTTCCTGTGACTCTTCGATAGGAAACCTGTCGATACTAGTACATGATCAGGACTGTACTCGAAGACAGGAAACAACACAACGATTCCTTCTGCGCCACGACAGCCTTCACACACACCACAGCCTCGGACCGCGCCGCCTCACACTAAGAACGTTTTGCGCTTGTCTACAAGCACGAAGGGGTGTTGTTGGAACTGGGTCGGAAACCTGCTCGTCAGAACGTGAATGCGAGGTGCAAATTCACGCACCAAACACGTCCTGAGTCCCATATTCTTCTATTCTTAGGCTTTCCAATTTAGATGGGCCCTCCAGTCACGGGAGACGGCAGCCTTTTTCGAGGAAGAGGGGGGAGCGGGCTGGAGTGGTCCCCTCAGCCGCGACACAAACGACGAGGATTCTGGGAGGCGTACCTTCACAAGACTGTACAGCCTTGTGCCCTGGATGCAGCTACTGTCTGCCTCGCCGAGCGATAGCGGGAGGCGCTCGTGGCATCGGTCGTCGTGGAGAAGAGGCAAGGACGATCGGGCCGACTCACGTGCCCGCCGATCTTCCTCTCTTCCTCCACCACCAGGATTGCTTCTACCTCGACCCTGCGTGCATGCCTCAGCGCTGCACCTTCCCACCTGCGACCTTCAGTCAGACAGAATGGCGGGCAAGAAGTTCAGGTACTTGCCTCTTTCTTCTTTCTTCGCTCGTTAGCTTGCCAGCTGAATGGCCACTTTCCCCCCCTTAGAACCATCCTCGAGGACGATGATGACGAGTAAAACGAGGGAAATCGGGGCTGATGGGTCGAGGGGTGGCTTAGAGGATGGAATCGCTGGCTCCAGGTGCGTGAATCCAAGCTCCGCCTTCACACATCTCGATTTCTAAGTACATTTGCATCTAGCTCTGAAGGCTCCCCGCCGCCTGGCCCGCCTTGGTATTGCACTTGAATACTCATTTCACATCCGCGGCACGCGTCTTCGCCACGGCTACTTGCTGCTGAAGCCACCGAAGCACACTATCGACAACGACAATCACCTCATAAACGAAATGGCTTCCAGGGCGGCCTGTTATGGGGGACTCTGAGCATTCTCTCCGCGTCAATAACTACCCGGTGAGTCATATAAATGCTCCCATGTGCCTAAAACTTATCGCGCTGCTACTCTTCAAAGTCTGCCGTCATTTTTACCCACTCCAAAACCTTCCACGACCTCTTCTCCCTCCTTGCTTCGGAGCGCTGTCGGCGGGCCTCGAAACTCTACTCTCCCATGCAGGCCACCAGCTGCTGTCGTCACTGGCGACAATACGACCGCCACGTACTTGTGGTCTCTTCTCTCCAAAGCCACATCGCTGTCCAGTGGACCCCAGAGTCTATAATGCTCAGAAGTGGCATATTTCTCACCACCCACCACGTTTCTTGGTACCAAGGCGGCGCAGGACGAGGCGACAATCAAAAAGCGGACGAGCAACTGCTTTTATCTTGGCTTTTATGCTCGATCGACTGCAATCACTCACCCTACGGCTTGTAGACCTCAAACGGACACTCAAACGCTACAATACGACATCATGATACTGCGCATACCATCTCCCGCGTCTAGCGCACATCTTCCCGCATCCACACACACATTCCATCGTCTCAAAAAGGAAGTCACGTGCAAGACATCCCCGCAAAAGATGTCGAAGTATCGCAACGTACGCAAGACATACGGCTCCATCGACTGTATCTCATCCTCCCCCGTACCATCCCGCGACTACAAAATTCTTTCTGCCCCGCCTTTCAATGCAGAAGGTCGTCGTTTCTCGGCGTTTACAGCGGAGGCTATCTGGACGGCATGTGTGTCGTTTGTCGAACGAGGAGCAACAGTGGCGGTATATCAGGGAGCTCTGTGGATTGCGGAGAGGTGTGTGCCGCTTTATTCAACAGCGGAGTACCTCTGACTTGACTGTTGTGCCCCCCATTTGTTACCTACAGCCATGATATCGTATCGAAAGGCGTGTATCGGCTGGACAGGGAGAATAGGAGAGTCATGCGCGCGAATTTGGCTATAGAGTCAGTTGTTTGCTGGCATTATCTGTCTCGGTCATTGATTTTCAGGAATGTTTACTCCTTCCGCAGCTGAACAAGGTGCGAAATCATCTATTCATGAATTTGCTGCCACAGTACTGTATTCTCAAGTGCTGTATTCTCAATTGTCTGCACTGCAGGCTTTCATCTATCCGTTCGATTTACGCCTTACCTTCCCACATTGTGCCCGTTTTCGCATCTGTGTACCTACCAGTACAATAGGCTAAGCTGCAATACTGGAAGACGTCCGCCATGTCTCCCTGTGGATCTAGCTATTGGTTACTGGTACCGTTTGCTCTACTTGCTTTAAGCACGATTGTATCTACATTTTATGGCTGTTCTCCTTTGCAAGCATCGACTGAAGAGTTCGTTGGTCAGATAAATTAAGTACAATACTAATTGTCGTACATGTGAATGAAGCTCCGTTCCCCTGATCAGTGAGCATTCATCTTACTTATAGCATCTTCACCATTACTGCCAGTGTCGCCCTCGCTGCTACGCTTGGCATTGTCCACAGTGTTGCCCTCGACCTCGCACTTGCCCTCCCCTTCGGCCGATGACCCGGATCCTTCTCCTGGCAGTGACTCGTGTTTGAGTGGTGGGCTGTAATATCCTGGGTATTCGATGTCAACCAGCTTCTGTCTGTGCGCTTGAATGATGGCAGTCGTAGTGATATGCAGGCCCTCGGTGTAGCAATGCAGCACGCCCATCTCTATCACCCGTTTGAGATCGAAGAGGCCTTCCCTGGTCAAGGTGAGCAGCGGGGTTATATTGTAGAAACACATACCGGTAGACCTGGGCCCATCGCGGGTCGCTGGGGTGGATGTGGTCCTTGAAGTCGAGCTCCGCGTTCTTAATGGCCTTGTTGATAGCGTTTCGGTCCAGTGGTGCTGAGAGAAAGATATTCCGAGGGATCAGAGACAGGTTGAGCAGCAGTGCGTACCGAAGGACTGCATCCGTGTTGACGGGTTGGAACGAGGTAGTAGTTGCGGTCGATGGCGTTCTTGTCCACCAGCACGTTTAAATGGAAATTACCGATGTGTTGACACAACGCGTGTCCGCCACGGCGAGGCCACGCCCTGCGACATGCTTCTCCGACCAGTGAGCATGAGTTCGAAGATCTATTAATACTCCAGCGAGGGAATGTGGGTGACATTCGGTGTACGACATCTTCTGTAGCCTCAAGCTCGATCAGAAATTAGCCCAGTCACTGTGTCGATTGGTTCTTCCGGGTTATAGTCGCTGAATTTGACTGGGACAGTGGGTATCTCGATTGCGTATTTGCCTTGGCTTTGACTTCCTTAAGAGCAGGAGGGAGGCAAAAAAACTGGTGGTGTATGATAGCGATGAATCATTTGTCCGCGTCAGATGCTTCATACTAGTAGACAGAGGTCCCCGAGTACTTGCGCGCCGCCAGTGCTTGAAGCAATGAAGAAGAGAAAGCAACAGCGGCGTCGAGCCTGCCAATCAGCAGATACAGCAGGTATATAGTCAGCAGTGCTTGCGGGGGGTGCTTGCGGTACCAAAGAGGCATGACGACGAAGGAGAGATCGACACGTGACAAGCATCGCTTCTTCTTCCGGTCCTCCACCACGGACGACCGCCTCACCTTTCCGTTGCTCTAAACCTGCGGCTCACTTTGCTCAAGCACTCGGGCCCGTCATGGTCCCACCCGCCGAGAGCTCCGGTGTGTTGCAGCCAACCACATGATGTCCCGCTAACTGCCTTTTGCATCCAGGCCAGCAGCCGTTTCTGGCGTATGCGATGCTGTGACGGCGCCTCGACGGTCGATAACCGCGGACGTTGGGCTATGAGGAGCACTTCTGGGCCCAGTGGGATGGCAAATTAGTGGTCGTTTTGGTGCGTTAAAGCAATACCTTTTCGTTCTTGTCATTTCTGACGTCTACTCGTCGCAGATATCCATGGAACCCTTCTCCGACGCCTACTACGAACCCAAACCACTTTCTTCTCCAATTCCCAAGCGATGGGTGGTCCCGCTGCCTCGCTGAAGCTTCCTGTTGGGCGACGACGACCTGAATATCCACCGCGACAGGGTGTGGAGGTCCTGGTACGCGGAGTCGAGAAGTCGCACCATGGTGCGTGGCTTTGCTGTAGCTTTTACTCTGTCCGTTAAAGCTTCTTTTGCAGGTCAACCTGCGTGTTGCGGCGCAAGCGGTAAAGGACGACGAGGATGAAGCCGTTGGTGCTAGGTTGGTCTTGCGGTCTTAACGGCAAGGAATATCATTAATCTAATTCGTCGGCCAGCAAGGAGGCAGTACAGACCGCAAGACCCTCAAGCGACATGATTGCTGGAGCATTCTTCTGAAATGCCGACACCACATAATCCTTCCACGAACGCGACATCTTACCCCATCCATATCAACGACAGCAGCATTCAAAATGAAATGCCCATGGCTAGCGCTCACACCAGCGGCGCTCGTCATCGCCTTCTTCCCACAAGTCACCCTCGTCACATCACACCTGCGAAACGACTTTGCCCGTCCGTTTCTGCACTACATACGGCTCTATGGACCGTATCTCGTGGCGCTTTACAGGCCTCCAAATTCCCCCAATTCTTTTGGGACCCCATTTTAAACGGGAACACCCTTGTCGACACTGTTTTCTACGATGTGGCCACTTGTGCTGAAATCAAGTACAACGCTATCTCGACCGCGACACGGCCTCGATAATGTGTCTCTCGTCATGCCCGAGCATACCCTCCTCCACTAGACGATGTGTCTGTCAAGATTTTGTTCCTGCGTCGTTGCTCTGCGGTCGTTTGGTGCTGGAAGTCATTCTGTGTGGGCCGAAAGTGGCCGGCAAGCGGGCGCGTTGCATTTTTTTTTTTGTCAACGAATCGTCTTGGGAAATGTGGGTTCTTCAATGGGTCGGCCAGTAGCAGACTACGTTGTGCTGATTGCTCTTCACAGTCGTTGGCGTCGGTCTGTATTGTTATCCACGGTGAGTCACTTTTCTCTCTCATCGTCAGCTCGACGATGACCTTACTGTGTTTGTTTCAGCAGTGATTAGCGATACACTGGCTTCGGCTCACAAGCACAAATTCCCCTGACATTCGCTCGACCATAAATCTCAGACTTGTGCGTCTGAGACTGCGTTGCTGCCTCTTCGCTCACGTTTGCAAAAAGAGCCCTCGGTATAGCGTGGGCTTAACGAGCACTGATTGTGCGCAGTTCTGTTGCTTACTATGGTCGTTACTGAACAAGCCCTTTAGCCAACTTGACTTCTAAGTCGAATTCTGACTTTGTGCATAAGAGCTAGTACTAGTGCGGACGGTTGGCACTTATGGCCAGAGACGAATCTTTTCCTTTGTCTAGTTTCCCTCATTACAAATGGTATCCTTTTCTTCGCTTTTCAAGCTGCTGCTACCCCGACTCGGGCGATTAATATTCTTCTTGTCTTTGCCCTTACTCTCACTCTCGAGCTCAGTGTCCTCACCATCACCGGCGCTGTCGTTGCCTTCTTCTTCCTCGCTGTAGAAGCAATACCGGTTATCGACTTTGTACTCCAAGTCATTTGGGTCGCTGTTCAAGACATCCAAGTCCAAGCTCCTGCGATCGGTGAGGTGAGGGTTGGGCGTCTCGACGTCGCCCAGATCGTTGATGTATGCCTCCATGATGCCGTCCACGCTGACGCGGATGCCCTGTTCGTGGCAATATGCAACTCCGGTCTTGATAACGTTGTTCAGGCTCAGGAGGCCCTGGCTAGCGGGAGTACTAGTTGAGTCTTCGACTGCTTCGCATGGATCCACGCACCGCTTAGCCTCCTTCCGCCGCTCGTCTCCGGGGGGCACTCGGAGGAGGAAGTCGTCAATCACGTTCTCCATGCGTTTCGCCACCGCTTCGCGGTCGACTACAGCAGTCCAGTCTTCAGCAATATCAGAAGAATATGGGGTGTTTCTTACTATTGTCATGTAGCTCGATGCTTAAGGCGCGTAGGACTACTTTCACGACGTCCATCTTCTGGCAGCTACGGGAAGCAGCAGCGTGAACTTAAATGTTGTCTATGCACGGGGGGAAACAGCGTGTCTGCGACCATGCGCAACGCATGCTCAGCTGATCGGAATTGGCCCGATCGTTGTGTCGATTTCCTCCCAGTCGATACATACATATGAAGTCATATGCCGCTGTCGTTTCGCTCGCGGACTCGCGTCATGGAATGCAGATGTCTAAATAGCAACCAGATTTCAAGTGTAGTGTTCGAGCTAACAGGTTGTCTGATGGTGTAGAAACGACAGAGGTCCAACTTTGAAAGTCGTGTAGACTATGATCATCTATTGACGCTCTAAGGAACTGCAGAAATCTAAGGTCTAGAAGGTGCTCTCTCACGCGCACACTAAACGAAAGGCATGTCAGCGCGGCCCTATCATAGGAAGAACAAGACATACTAGCGCAAAGCCCATCGACTGCGCCCAAAGTCAAACCTGCCCACCCGCCAATAACAACGATGGACCCTGTCATGATACGATGTCAGTGTGGGCCACGCACATGCTGAACAAAAGCCACATACCGCCATTGCCCCGGTCGAGGCCCTGAGAAAGCGATAAACTCGCTCGATGGCCAATACGGAGGACCCAGATAGCCTTCACCCATTATTCTCCCGCCGTTTCTGGTTCCATAAACGGCAGGAATAGAGCATTTGTGTTGGATTCTTGCACGAGATACAGCTCCGCCGCCGCATATGCCGATAACGATGGCACAAGAGCCAAGAATGGGGGTGAAAGAATCATTCGCGAGATCGTGTCGAGCGACGACCTTGCCGCCCAAAACCACGGACAAAAAGAATTGGGTAGGAGCTTTGGATGTCCGCGCATACGGAGGTCTGGTCGATGAGGCCCCAATTAGTGTGTGGCCGGAGTTATGAGTCGGCCAAATCGAGGACGAAAGCGTGATGGTGACCGAGACGTGACATGGCCGGGAAAGCAAGGGAAAAAAAGCGGTCGTGGGCAGAAAATCGAAGTCGGAAGTTGGTAATGGGGAAGGGAAGGCGTCAGGACAATGTGAGATGAGGGTTATGGGCATGCTTTGCTGGGCTGGGGTACGTTCAGTAAATCGGCGTTGAGAGCTTTCGCAGAATATGAGTCCCGGCGTTCGAGTGCGGAATATGGTGCTGTTGGACGGGCCGAAGGCGTTTGGGGGATTGGAAGGCTGTCGAGCGGAAGGATACAGTGTGTTCTAGAAGGCGTCGGCGCCAGCGAAAGGAGCGCCCTTGCGGGCTGGCGCGGAGCGGCTCCAGTCATGTCTTCGTTCGGAGCCAGAGGGTTGCGCTGAGCGATAGAGAAGAGCAGTTGTACCAGCCTCTATTGCCAGATTCTCTCTAATCCTGCTGACATTCATTCCCGCGACAGCAACCCATGGCCACCCAGCACCAGCTCCTCCAGCTCGTTTGAATATCGCGGCATACTGTCAGCGACACGAAGTATAGCCAAGTATTTCATTGCACCAGGCAACGAAACTAGAGATTGAGGATCGTCAATTTGAGAAGCACTCTCCGAGAACGTATGCGCGCACCATGACCGTGAGCGTGCCACATATCCGTCTGTTGGCCCTCTCATCGGCCGTTGTATACGCTCCCGCTCGTGTTGCTGTTGCTGTGGCCGTGTGTGCGAGATGGCATATGGAAGTCAAGAGGGAAGGAGGTCACACGTGTTACTCGCTTTCGCTTTTCAGCCTCAACCAACAACTCGATGGGCAACGTCGAAGATTATACTGGTCTTTAATCATCCTCTGCTTTAGCTGTCGTTGCTATCTTCCGCCCGAGGGCAGGTCCTTACATGAAACGCAAGCGCTTTGACATCAATTACTTCACGAAGTATTTGGGAGTGAACTACTTAGTATCTGGTTTTTAATGCGCATCTTCCCTCGATATATACTCTGCAAAACCTCCCGTAAGGCTCTCGCTCTCGCTTTCACCGTCGGTCTTGCTCTCGCCCTTGAACTTATTCTCGTCCTCGCCGCCACTGCTG